AAATAATATTTACTTAGGCATGGCTGGAAAGAACACCAGGTTTAGAGCCACATGGATTTAACTTCTGGGGAAAGTTGGAAAAAAGCATCATCAAAGGCCTGGAGGAAGAATTCATAAGGATTCAGGTATGTAGATGCCATGAGTTAATATAAATGTACTTACAGAAAAAATTTTAGGAATTTTATTTTAAGAATTTATTGCTCTTTTCTTAACCTTTCATTTTTATTATATTCTTTTTCTTTCACAATTGTATTTTCTTGGAAGGTATTACATGATTGATTTAATTTTCTGTAGGTGCAATGAAAATTGTACTAAAATAAGGTGTTCATTGTAAACAAGATTTTTATCTATGATAAATAGCTGAGATTAATAGACATTTTCCTTTCTAGTGAAAACTCTGTGTTATGACCAATTCTAGACAGAAATAGGCACAAAAAGGACCAATTAACCAAAAATATTGAGCCAGATAACTTTCCTTTTGCTTTTGTATACTTGCTGGGTCCTTTCTATTGGCTCTCAGACAATGTCAATTTTCTCTTACTTAAAAAAATATTGTAGATTGCTCATTTCTCTCAAATTATAGGTTTCATCCTCTGTTCATGTTGAAATTTGTTGAAAGAGTTGTTTAAATTCTGTGTCTCGAGAGACCATATCAGGCAGTGTGTAAAGCACGGACTTCATAGTCACACCACTTGGGTTCTGATTCAAACTGTGTGATGGTGGACGAGTTGCTTAGACTCTCTTTGACTCACTTTCATCATTGGTAAAATAGAAAAATAAGAGTATTTTTGTCATAGGATTATTGTGAACATGAGACTAAATGAATATTTGTAAAGCATTTAGAACAGTAGTTAGAATAATTATTTCTTTATCTCCCTTCCAATCCTCTACTTACTCCAACCTGTCTTTTTGCACCGTCATTCACAAACGGCTTCAATGTACATCAATCCAATGGCCATTTTTATCTTAATTTTACTTGACTTCCCAGCAGCATTGAATGCTAAGGACCACCACTTACTCTTTCTTGAGCATTCTTTTCCCTAGGAATTGGAGCCCACCATTACGTCTGCACCTAATTCTCTTGCCCTTATTGCTCTATCTCTTTTACTTGCTCTTATTTTTCCTCTTAGATCAATAAATGGTTGGGTTTCACAATGCCTTGACTTAGATCCTGTTCTATCTCTATTCTCTTTCATTAGATGATGTCATTTATACTAACTGCTTCAATATCTACTTAGTCACCAATAATTCTCAAACATTTATTTCTATTTTAGATATCTCCATAGATTTCAGATCATACACTTAGCAACTTACTTGATTGATATTTCTTCCTGGTCCTCTCAAAAACACACCAGCAAAACCAAACTTAGAAAATTTCTCTTTCCATCCACTCTTGTACTAACATTGTTTTCTCTGAGTTAAAGAAGTTTTTCTCCTATAAATGATCTAGTTTGTCAAGTCAAATTAGACACCTATCAGTAATTCTTGGAATCTTCCTCTTGCTAAACCACTTCCTTCAAGCTATCATTACATCCTACCAATTTTACCTTCTAAATAGCTCCCAAATATCTTCCTTTAATCTGCCACCACTGTTCAAGTACACACTGCCATTGTTTTTCACCTCTACTAAAGTAATAGTCTCTGAACTATCCTATCCATCTCTCCAATTTATTCTCCATACTGCAATCTGAGTAATTTTTTCAAAATGCAAATCTGATCACATCTCTCTTTTCCTTAAAGCCTTTCAATGTCACCCCGGTGCTTTTAGAATTGAGATAAAAACCTTAACATGGTCTATAAGGCCTTTCATGATCTCAAATGGTCCAACTATAGTAAGTCTTTTATGAGCTGAGTTCAGTTCTTTGAATTTATTACCAAGGTGTCTCTCAATGTGTTCTCTCTGAATTTAGAATGTTCTTCTCCAGGTAACTCCCTCCCATTTTTCAGATCATGGCTCAAAAAAAATTCTTTAAGAAGGTCTTTCCTAACCTCCTTATTACCATACGTTATTATGGCACCAACACTGCTCCTGTATAGCATTCTACATGGTTGCAATTTAACGCTTGAGTGATTATTTGTTCAATGTCTTATTTTGCTCACGGTTTTATATTTATCACCTTATCATGACATTTATTGAATTAATTAGAAATAATATGTGTACAGTTTTTACTCAACACTGTGGTTGTTCTGATGAATTAAAAATAATTCGGTTAACTAATTTGCTCCAGCTGAATTAATTGAGTTGTAAGTAGAACATATGTGGTAGGCAGAAAAATAAGAATTTCCTTAAACCAATCAGTAGATAGCAAATGAATAAAATGTAAGAGTGAAAAATATCTAAGAAATTGTATTTACAGAATTAAATACTGAATATAGAATTTCAATAGAGTTAATAGTACTTCTAACTAGGAATTCTTAACTCTTCCTAAGTGGAATTACTTTACTCCCTATGTTAAATAATTATTGTTTAAAATTAGGTATTATTAACTGCTTGTATTTACCTCCAATTTTGTCCATTTGAGTTCATATCTTGTGATATTTATGAAAAGAATATTTGAGATTAATGAATCATTTAAACTTAACTAAAAGGGTAGAACCAGTGATTGTGTGGAAGATTCCTTCTCCTAAGACAAAATTTCCAAATTATAATATTAGGTGACATGGTAAATATTCCAAGTACCTCCTTTATGCAACTGTGAATCTAGTCTCTCACGTGCAAAGTTTTCTGAAGTAGCAATCTATTTTTTCTCTTGGGAATATTAATACAGCATTTTTTTCCTAAAGGCTAAGGAAGAGTCAGAAGAAAAAGAGGAATTAATGGCTGAATTTCAGAAACACAAAGAGGTGCTACTGTCCTTATTTGATGAGAAGCGTCATGAACATCTCCTTAGTAAAGGTAGATATTTTTCTTCTAAGGATCCTTTCCCTGGAATGTATGAGTATATGATTAAAAAATAATTTTATAAGACTACCAAGCCTTACTTGGGGGGAAATAGAATGAAAATTGATATTCTACTCACAGAAACAAGAATTGGGTAAATGGTATCTATGATAACCCTATCTTAACAGGTTTCTGTGCCTAGATTATTTCAAATCTATTAGAAAAATCTTTCATAGATAGTATGTGCCAGATATGAGGGATACCATAACTAATTGAATATAGTTTTTCAAGTAGCTCACAGCCTAATAGGCACAGAAATGAAGATAAATCATGGCAAATGTAAATACTCTGGTAGAGGTAAGAAAAGGAAGAAATAACTACTGAGAGCAAGGGTGGCTTGGCAGAGAAAGTGTTTCCCAAGCAGACTAGGAAAAGCACACATTTGCACTTCTGGTATAATTGATATTGAGCTATTATTTCCTGAAACTAATTGACCATTAAATTCAATATCTTCATTACTAAACTTTTGTGTTCATTTTGACTTAGAATTTTTATTAAAAAGTATCTCAAAGCCTTTTTGGAAATAGGTAGAATAAAAGCAAAAATTAATTTTTGTAATGCAAGTACAAGGCGTAGCAGTATTTGAAATTCATATTAAATTCTACAAGCTTAAAGGTCATTAGGCTCAGTTTCTAAAAAACAAAACAAAACAAAAAAAAACCTCAGTAAAGAATATCAAAATCTCATTTTCCTGCAGCTAAGAGAAACTCTTTCATTAGAACACACATATTTGAGTTTATATAATTGTTGTGCTTCCTTAAAGCCAAGTAAACTAATCTTAAGTGAATTAGAGAAAACTACTTTCAAATGACACTTGGAATGAATCTTGTTTAACTTTTCAAAAAGTAAGTCATTATATTATTTTACTTGAAACATATGTTTTATTATGGAAGTTAAGTGTTTCCTAGAAATATCAGATTTTCCCAACATGACCTTTAAAGGTTTTGAGAATTTCAAGTGTATACATTTTGGGTTTGCCTTTAAAACCCAATGATAAAATGATAGGTTTCCAAATTCAAGCTAAGAGATAAAAAATTTAAACTAAAACTTACATTATTTTCTGAACACATATAAAGCATTTAAATATTTAAGGTGATGATGTTAAATTAATATGAGACTACACTAAATTACCTATTAAATTAAAACGTGCTGTATATTTTGCAGGTGAAAGACGACTGTCATACAGAGCACTTCAGGGAGCACTGATGATATATTTTTACAGGTAAAAGGAAATTAGAAGAAGAGAGGTGGCTACATCCAGTATAATGCTTATAAACTACAATCATAGTTTAATGTAGTAATTTAAATTTTAGAGAAAACTTCAGAAAATAAGTAATAGTGAAGTTTCATGAGCTCTTCTTTTTTTATCTTTTTTTAAAATTTCATTTGTTAACTTTTAAATGGCAAGAGTATAACTTTATCCCTGATTGAGGTTCAATACTTTCCCCGCCACCAAATTAATCAAATATCCTTTTTTTTTATTAAATTCTACAAAGTATTATGTGACATCAAGTGTCCTAAAGTGCCAAAGTGTAAACTATCTCAGAAACTCAGTCATTAAATGTGTTCTGTCATTAAATAATGTTGTAGGGTCACTCCTGTAAAAAGAATGGATAAAATGAAAATACCTTATAAACTGTTGTACTTAGCAATTTCAAGTTAAAATTGAGCTCACTGTATATAATGTTTAAGGTATTTTTTAAATGTCTACTCACTCCTATTCTATGTGTATGAAGGTCCCCTCTTCATGGTTCATCAATTAAATGTGTCAGAATAATGGAAATCCCACTAACAAAAAGGCTTCAAATAGGTTTACAGGGTATCTTTCTTCCATGCACTTATTTAATTTTTAAAATCCCCTCAAATATTTCTTCAGAATGGCAACATAAAGAAATCTTTTGACTTGTTTCCTAAACTGAAGTAAATGTATGCCAGTCAACTTATGGGTCCTAAGTAGAAAATGTACTGAGAAAGTTGAAGAATTAGATGAAAAAAGGAAAACATATAGATGAGAGGAAATAAATAGCAATTTTTCCTTTCGTGTTTTAGTATCTTTGCCTAGAAGTTTTTGACTGTTGTTAGCTGGGAAGTCTTCTGAGATAGTATATATGTCTCCCTTTTAATAAAAATCAATGTTTGGCGTGACTCTGGTTGGCTAATTCATGTATATTATATGGAATTTTCTAGACTTAAATTCTTCAAGTTGAGTAGTTTTATCCCTATTTCTGAGATGAAGAAACTGACACTCAGAGAATACTCTAATGCTGTACAGCTCCTACAAGGCAAAGTTGATATTTTGTTTTTAGTGCCAAGTGATCATAAAATGCATGCTCTTCCTAACACACTAGATTTACTTGAATAGATTTTTTCTGATGATTATTTTTTCCTTTAGGGAAGAGCCTAGATTCCAGGTCCCTTTCCAGTTGCTGACTTCTCTTATGGACATAGACACACTCATGACCAAATGGAGATGTAAGTCCTTCCCTTGCACCCCACATTCCTTCTCCCCCATTCTGTTTCTTTACCCTTTTTCTTCTCTGAGCCCTCCCTCCTCCTCTTTCATACAAATCAGCTTGGCGATCACTCTCTCCCAGAGCCAACTTATCCACTATGCACAGCAGGCACCGTGCATAAAAATGTTTTAATTTACTTTATAATCTGAAGGAAAAATACACGTTAGGTCAAAGGAAACATTTTAATATATAATAGCAATATATTCATCTTTATGCCAATTCACTTTTAAAATGTAATTTTGTTATTTTTTTAATGGAGGAAGGAACCTATAAAGGCAAAAATGGCAAGGGCTCACAAAAGTCATACCGTGGCCCTGCTGGCCACTGTCGTGATCACAGGCTAAATGCAATGATGGATGGAGTGAAATGCGTGTAGCTGCACCAAGTGGGGTGCTAGGCAACCTCAGGGCTTTATCTGACTCTCACACATTGAGCCCTCCATATGGCTTAAGTGATAAGGTGTCAGCCTTTTCTCAGAAGCAATAATCATTACCAACCCCTTGTTTTTAGAATGTTGTGGAACTAATGGCAGAAAAATATCCATGGAGTAAATTTGTGTGTTTGCCTAGATAACCATGTGTGCATGGTGCACAGAATGCTGGGCAGCAAGGCTGGCACTGGTGGTTCCTCCGGCTATCAGTACCTGCGCTCAACCGTGAGGTAGGTGGGGGAAATTCTCCTTTCTTCTTGGTGGCAGTGACCAATGCTTTGTTTTCTCACATTCTAGTGCATTATCTAGGAAAAGCCATTGATACTTGCTCCTGTCTGAACTGCAGATCACACATTTGTAGTTAGATTATGATATTCCAGTTGGAACCTTTGGAGCTAATTGTATAAACTTCTTGATTGTGGAACTTCATCATTTTGATCCTGTGATGAGAAGGGTCATGGTACCAATGGCCGCATGACTTGTGAGGACACGAGGGGTTCAACAGCGTTTACATCTAGGCAGTAAAATCTTCTGCTCAGTCTGGCTCAAGTGTTGACTAGACTAAAACTTTGATCATTGATTCCACTTATGTCTTCTTGGCCAGATATGGATAAAATAGTTTGTTTCCTGATGTGACTCTATTTTATATCAAAAAACTACTTCCATCTAGAGAGTGCCCTTTTCATAGTGTTTACAAGGGAAGAAGTTAGCATCTATTGAGGACTTAGAACATGCTAGGCAGATTTCTAAGGCATATACATTCTTATTCTATTCGATATTCACAATACTATAGATAGGTGGATAGATACATCTGGGAACTGGGAAACTTTCATGGCCCTTTGGAAAAGAATCAGCTCAGGGATAAATCAAATATTCACATTTAGCCCCCAAATTCTTTACGGTACATTGCTTTCATTCCAACCAGATTGGCCATTTTCTAAAATGAACAGGTTCATATTTTCATCACTTTTATACATTTTTCACTTTCCCTGGGGATAAAGTCTATAAGCATGAAACAGTCAATAATTGTCTACACAGAATGAGCACACCCATCAGTCGTTGGTGGGAATAATTAACACAAACAGCATTTCTAGTATGTCGTTATTTCATTTAGTCTCCACAAAGCCTTGACCAGAGAAAGGGATTAAAACTTTTACTTTAGAGTTAGAAACTGACATTTAAACAACTACTCCAAGGTCCCCAGGATGCAGGCGACAGAACCAGGATTTGAACCCAGATTTATTTGACTTCAATAGCATTTCAATTTATTAATCCCTTCATGGTAGTTATTGGGCAGCTACTTTGCAGTTGGAAAATATTTTTCAGTGACCAACTAAGAACTCTATTGGCTTTAAATTTATTACTTCGCATGCTATCCTTCAGAAACAGGAAATGAGAACACACCCTTGTCTTTATGAAAGAGTATGACAGTAGGAAGACTCTAGGTCTTAATCTGGACCACCTGGTCTGGATCAACCAAACATATAATTCTGTTTTATGGGCATGAACTTTGGATATGGAATAAAAACTAGGCAATCTTAAACTAACACTGCATAATACCTAATATTATATATATATAAAACATACTACATGCAATTTATAATATTTGTATATAATTATTTACAAAATATCTGAAAAATATAAATTTTGGATAGAAAATTTTAAATATTTCATGTCAACAAATCTAAAACATTTTCATGTATGTGTTTTTCCAGTGATAGGTACAAGGTATTTGTGGATTTATTTAACCTTTCCACATATATGGTTCCCCGACACTGGATCCCGAAGATGAACCCGATCATTCATAAATTCCTTTACATGGCTGAATACGTTGACAGCTCGTACTTCAGCAGTGATGACTCAGATTAAAATCACCTACAAAATCTATGAAGAATATTGATTTCTCAGTCTGTATTTTTTATTTTCTATGTACGTTCATGAATACACACAGTCTTAACTTAGTATATGTATATACAGAGTTTAGCACCATGGTGTTATGATTCAATGCTGGAAACAATTTGATTACCTCATATTAGTGATGATATAAGATTAAGCATTCAGATGAAACATAATTCAGTTAAATTGTAACATTGTACATAAGGTGTTTTCCTATTAAAAATTCAATGTCCTCTGCTACTTCTCTTAATGTAACCACTTAATATAATCATCTCATTGTTTCATAAGTTTGTAAACTTCAACTATTTCAAATATTTTATGCAATAAAATGTATCATTCCGTGCAAAGACTTATTCAAACAAAATTTTTCAAATAATAAATATTAATCTTTTGCCCTGTATTGTTTTTCAAACATTGCTTGTATTTATTAGGATTCTTGATGATCAAACACAAAAATCTATCGGAAGCTTGCTTAGAGGGGATTTTCTGAAGGATTACTAGCTCACAGAATTCAAAGCAGCATTGTCCAAAAGCCTTAAAGTTGAGGAGCCTGGGATCTCTGATGCCACAGGGACAGGATCCCGTTCCTGAAATACTGTATTCTTGGAACACTTTGAGGATCCTTTATGTCTCATTTCTTCTTTCTAGGTGTTGGCTCTATTCTTCCATGTCGTAGAACAGCTTTTTCCTTAGGCTGGGTCCCAGCTTCCAGCACCTGTGGACTCACAAAAGGGCAAAGGTTCTCTTTCCCCCAGCTCCCATGCCTGTGGGCTGGGAAGCAGAGTGAACTCTAATACCTCGCAGAATTGAGGTAGGAACAAGGAATAGTTCCCTCAAAGAAGAATGCTCTTTCCAGAAGAAACGAGAGGTAAACAGACTAAACAGCAATCCAACTCGTTTCTAATAAAAAGTATTAGACTAAGAGTTTAGTTCAGACATAGTTTTAGTCCTCTTTTTCTAGCATAGCCAGCATATTGGCAAAACTTAAATTTCTCTTCTGGAGGCAGTACACAATGTCATCAAAGGAATCTAAAATATGCATTAACCTTGACCTTGAGTAATTGCAGCTAGCAAGCAGCAAATTCTTGATAAAAATCAAACTATGTTTTGGTTTCAATTAAAAGTTTTTTCTTATAAGGATCATATTATCTAGTTTGTCTCTAAATTACATATAATTGCTCTTGCCTCCATGACATATCTGTGTGTGTGTGTGTATGTGTGTGTATACATGGTATCCAATGATGCTTATGCTGAAAAGATACAGAGGCAAATTTCACTGTGGCTAAAGGCACTAGCTTGGAAATCAGCAAGCTTGGGAGTAAATTCTGGCTCTGCCATTTACTATCTATCTTCTCTGGTCCAAACACTGGTTGAAGCCCAGTTTGCTATCTATATGAAGATAGAAGAACTTACTTTATAATCTTTATTGTTTCTCATGAAAGAATGTTAATATTAATAGATGTTCTGTCACCGAAATACCTTGGAATATTGGAGCAAATGCTACTTGTCAAAGGTTTACCATTCTTTTAATAGACTATATGATTGGATTTAGTTCTTTATATCTATATTTCTTGGAGTGACTAAGCTATATAGTTGCAAGAGTTTTTTTAAAGGATACATCAATAATTCTTAATGTAAATACCAGAACAATGTATAATGTCAGTTCCCACCCTTACTCCATTCACATTTGCAGTGCTGATGCTCCATGTTAAATTGTAATTCTTAAATGGGTCGGAAAATCACCTTAAGGTCGGCTAATTTAGCATTCGCTTTGAGATCCCTGTGAAACCACATCCAGGAACATGTTGATGACTTTCATCATGACTCATAATTATTATGCAAAAACTGCATTGCACTGACTTCAAGTAGTTTGTTATGGCTGGGGCAGAGCATACGTCTGCACAGCACAGCTGCAATTGTGGTTGAGAAGGTGGAGAGGGGCTACTTCACAAAAGATCATGTAAAAGAGCTTGCATGTGACCTTATAGGTTTTGGGGAGCCCCTGCATGTTTTAAAACAGAAGAATGACATGATGGTGTCTTTGAGAAATGTAAATCCAGGGAAAATATGGTAGATGGATTGTAATAACACTCATCGGAATCACCTGGCTTCTGGTCTGGAGACTATACTTTGAGAACTTCTGGGTGAAGGGACATGGAGTGTGGTGAGTAGATGGCTGAAGAGTGGAGATAAGAGATACTAAGGAACACGCAGCTGAGAAAGGACAGTAGAAATAGGAGATAAGTGACAGGGTGATGGGTCACCAAGGTGTAGCTGACCTGATTAAATATCTAGGATTTCTCATGATTTTATTGATTGGGTGATTATATAATGTTGATGTTGTTAATCAAAATAGAGACCCTAGGAGCTGAAGGGGGCTTTTTTGGGTGGGGGCGGGGAGGATGATGAATGGAGTTTTAGAGACATTAAGGTTAAAGTGTCTGTGGAGAAACCCAAAAATTGGATATATGGATTTGGAGCTGAGAAAAGTCTGTGAACATAAAGCACATTAATAATGTGTTGACGAAATGTAGGCCACATACTTAAGAACAGGTTCTTTTAAACCAAAGTCAAATATAGGTTGTTTTATTATAAAGTCATCAAAATCCAGAACAGCTAAGAGGTGTTAATCATTTTGAGATGTTAAAAATCCTTTAGCCTTTGAAAAAGAGTATAAGAAAAGCATTTATATCATATAGAAAGTCAGTACAGTAACAACACAAACTAGAACAAAAATGTCAATATTTGTCTTCCTGGAATATCTCTAAACCTGAGTCAACACACATTCTTTTGAGATTGGTTCTGGCTGGTGTACAAAAATAAATACAGTATTTTGTCTTTGATTTTGTTTTTCTAATAAAGGGCAAGGATAAAGGGCAAAAATTAGAGAAAAAATGAGATGTCCTTGAATTTTTTTAGTGGTTTCTGCTGCCTATGAAGTTTTACTTTTGTTCAGATCTTCTACATTAGAAAATAATGACAAATTTTAGAGAAGTAATATTTATATACGTAGTACTTGAAATGATGTTCTTATAGTAACTCATTTAATATGGTTGTACTTAATCAGAAGATGAGCTCTTTGGTTCTAGGGTTCTGCCACTGCTTACACAAGAAGCAGAACATAGCTCCCCTCTCTCTGCACAGGATTATTGGTCACTGCTGTGGATGCAAGTTAATCAAACTTCAATCGTGGCACAGCACCTGAAATCATTCGCACAATTAACGATGCAAGAGATCACAGGCATCATGACTTGAGAACCAAGCGAAGGCAAAAAGGGGTGCACAAAGAACACCCCAAAGAACACTTAAGTTAGGACTGAAGACCCGGAAAACCAAGCAGAAAACGGACAGAGTCTGGGGAGCTCACAGTTTGGCTGATACCCCCAGGTTCAGAGATTGGACTTTGAAAACAGTGGTGCTAACAAATCCTGGGAGGAAGAGCCAGATGTTGATAAAGGCATAGAGATGAAGGGAGCCCAGGAAGTGGTTAGAAAATAGAACTAGAAAGTAAAAATGAGAATTCTTTGGTCAGGGAAGCCAAACCACTAGGAAAATTTGATTAACAGAAAGAGAAAGAGGGTGAGAAAATGTGGCATAACACTTTGTTCTCTAATAAAGGGGAAAAAGTAAGAAATAAAATCTACTGGATTCCTATCGGCAATGAAAATTTCCAAACTTGTCTCTTGTGAATGCTAGTAGAGATTTCTGAACACATAGTTGCCATATTGGTCATTTAGTTGCTATCACTTTAACTGTTTCTCTTAAGAAGGGATTTGCCTTTGTTTCCTTCTATATGGCCGCTTTGCTGTTCAAGGTAAGCACTGCTTGTTGAGGTAAAGCACTTGGTGTTTCAAATCCTGATACTCCATCTCAGAGGGCTGCTAATATAATTGTGTGAGGCACACAGAATTTTAGGTTGGCCATTCCTGTGTAGAGGGGTAATCTAAGGCTAGTGATTATATCCCAGAAAAGAAAATAAATTCTTATCGCCTCTTTGATCCCATCTGAAGAATTTCATTAAAAACAAATAAACAAACAAATAATAAGGGAAAAAAAAACAAACAATAGAATCTTCAAGTTGCAGGGACCTAAAATATCTACTAATCTGACCTTCCTCCCAGGACAGCAAACTGTTCCACAGATTTTCTTGCAGACTGCAGTGCTGGAGTTCTTCCTACAGACTTTGGTTGTCCATCTCTCCGTAAGAAGGGAATATTCTACAACTTAGTTTAAATACTCCTGGGCCCTAGAATCTTTTGTAGGTAGTTGCTGCAGCCTGAAGTTGAATAAGATTTAAAATGAAGTACTATGTTACACTGTATTAGGAAAACCTTCATTTTTGTAATTGTTTCTTCATCTGCCTAACATGTCATACAAATATAGCAGAAACCGAATCTGCAATACCTAAAGAAAAAAAAAAAGAAATTATTAGTATTAGTTGATTTCCTCTTTAGATGCCTTTTAAATAACAAATTAAAACTTACTTTTCATTTGGGTTCAGAAAGAGTATCTACTAAGAAAATAATGTAATAGTTATCACTACATGTCAGTGTAAACATGGCATCCTCAAAAGCAGACGTTAGAAAAAATATTAGGCATATTAGAAACATGCCAAATATTTTTGTTTCAAGAAATTAAACAAATTTAAAAAATTTAAAAGAAACTCACAACACAAACTACTTGTTAACTAAATAGGTGAAAGCATCTGAAATCTGTATTGCATTAATATATATTTTTTAGAGGCAAAATAACTTATAAGATTATTTTAAATACAATTTCATAATTCAAACTCTAAGATTTGAACTTGAGTGTAATTTCAGTAAATCACAATGCTCTCTTAACATACACGAACAAAGCTCTGAACATCATGGTGAAAGCAATAAACAGCCTATCTGAAGACAAGATTTCACTGTAATTAACCACATCTTTGAAATCTCTTGGGGCTATGGAAAACTATCTGCCTTATACTATTGTTCATAGGAGTCATACAACCATCATCAGATATGTATTAATATCTTTCAGGGAATATTCACTTTCAGGACATTTATATCCCTGTGTAGTTAATAACCAACCAGGCCCTTAGAGACTCAAATTGGGAAAGTATTAATAGGCAGAGAGAAAAAATTATCTCAACTCATCCCTAGAAACTGAGGGTCAGGGAAAGATTGTGGTAGGGAATGAAGAATCATAATTGAGGCAATTATGAACCAATATCTGAATCATGGCCGTGCACCTCTCCTGTCAGAGTTTTGAAGACAGCCACCCTCAGCCCAAATCCAGGCACCACCGCTGCCACAGTTAGAGATAAAGAATGTTCCGTAGCCAATGTTCAAAGAAAGGCAGCAGTAATTACTTGCAGTTCCAAAGATGTACAAGCCCCCAACAATTCTGAAAAGTGGAGGTCTGACTGTGTTGCTAGTGCTCTGGCCAAAAGAGTTCTGGAATGTTGACTCTTTTCAATGAATAATTTATGAAAATTGTTTCATTGGGGTGCTAGAACAGGTCATTTATTAACTCTCATAGATTCTACTTTATGGAATGATTGGATAAAAGTCATTAGATTGAATCAAAACACAAACTCAAATATTTCTATAACTAAGTCTCACAATATGGAAGGTTCTATAATGCTTTTTAAAAAATTGTACATGTGCTAGAACTAATTGTAATGAGAAATTAAATGATCATTCTTTATGCAATTTATTTTGGGTTTAGCTTGATTCAGAAAATAGGCTGATTTTCTAGATCAAAAGTTTCAGAATATAGGTTTGAATATAGGTTTTAGAATACAGCTAAAAAACTAGTTATTTTAGTTTGGTTTATGGTCAATTAAAAAAGTAGTATTCAATGAAAATGAATACCATGTTTGGTTATTTGCCTAAGCCTCTCAATTTCAGTGGGTGTTTTGCTAGAATTTTGTAGGTGACTAGAGGCATATTATGTCAGAAACAATGTAATGCTCAGATTTTCATATATTTTGAAACAAAGAAAAACTTATTCTTGATAATCACTGAGCAGGGATTATAATACACAGAAAAATTCATACGGTTACAAAATATAAATTTGGAATAAAAAGACATTTCTCGCCTTCAGACTACCTAGCGACTACTGAATATTTCTCCAGGAATGCAAAAACAAAATAATAAAAAAAAGATATTTCTGGAGAAGTTCAGTCTCTTAAGTTGAGTGTTTATCTGATTTTGAAGTAGTTAACTTTGGTAAGTTATTACTTTATCTTATGTTTTGATATATATATGTAACATATATATTAATATTTTTGCTACAATCCTTCTTCCTTTTTAAATGTGAGTATGTTCATTAGTGCCTCTTTTTAAAACAGTCTTTTATTTTTATCATTTGGTTAAAGGACAAAACAATTATTACTGCAAAAATGATCTGAGTACATTGAAAGGGTACCATAAACTGGATAGGTTTGTATTTTTAATATATTCAAAACATATTTCTTGACATGTTTTGAACACAAGTGTTGAACTGAAGTTTTGAACACAAATTCATGACTCACCACAAACATTACTCCCCATTTTCACATGAGCATAGCCATCTACTCCCCATGAACTTCCCCATGAATTCCGCACAATCCAATATGGAGTACTTCCTACAAAACATAAAGTGATAACAAACCCTGAAAACTCATATTTGTTATGGATGCACGAGTTTCTTTATTTAAAGTTGGGTTCTTGATATCAGCTTTGAGGAAAAAATTACAAATTGTCATGTAATGCTAACTTAAATAAAGTAAACCCGAGCTGTGCTTAGTGTCACATTCCAATCAGTAGAAATACATGTTTAAGCTCATTTTGCTTAACACAAGGACTGCAAAAAATGAAAACACACATACATTTCCAAGGACTTGAGAAAAGGAAAAAAAAAAAAGAATTGTTAGATATGTGTGATAAAATACTAAGTACCTCTCTTTTCCCAACAATTATCCTAAATATTCCAGAAGGAGAATGCACATTATTTAAATAAAAATTATCATCATTTTAAAAAGGTATCCATCAAAAAATTGATAGGTGGAACCTGACAGGGTATTTACACCTGTAAGATTACTGAGAAGTTGTGAAGGTCTTATGGGGACTTTGACATAGCAAAACCAAATTTCAATATTCTATAGGATGGTGAATCATTTGGCTTTCACAGTCCAAGTTGGAAAGCAATCAACTGGATCTTATCAGTACTTACCTGTTTTATCAAATCCAGTTATAAGAACTGCATGATTTGCTTCTCCACTAGAGCAATGATGCTGTATTATGCCTCCCAGATAATCTTGCCAGCTTACTGCATCTACTATGACTACCAAAGGGCCAAAGGTAAGAAGTGCTTTCACCATTTCATCTTCTTGTTCACTACCAAAAAAAAAAAAAAAAGAAAGAAAGAAACATTTGGTGAAAAATCTTAGTTTTTAAGGTAAAAATAAAAAATGATCTATTTAATCTGTGTATGGTTATGAGTAGATTTGGTGGTTGTAATTACAAAAGAGCAATAATGGAGGCTAAATGAAGTCTGGGAGATTGGCAATCTACGACTGCTATGGATTCTGCGGTATCAGGGACCCAGGAGTGTTCCATATAATTGTTCTGTTTTGTGAAGTTTCGATTCTCAAGGTCTGTTCATGGACCAAAAAGGCTGCTGGGGCTCCAGCCATTTAACACATATTTCAGACAGCAGGAAGTAGAAAGGAGAAGAAGTGGTACATCTCTGTTGAGGAGAATTCCCGGAAATAACACATAATACTTCTGTACATGTCTGCATGGATCTCATTGACCAGAGCTCAGTCATATGGCTAAGTCTGGCTTAAAGGAAGATGGGGAACGAATTTTGTAGCTGGCTGGAAAAGTACCCAGTTACAATACAGAGATTCTTTTAATAAGAAAAGGGGGAAGACTAGATATTTGGATATCTCTTGCCATCTCTGCCACACTGTGAATCAAGAGACTAACCGACTTACGCTAGTGAATGTCAAGTATAGAAATTATAGGGAAGGCTTACCCAAAAGTAGCTAATATAATTATACAATAGAAGAAATGTTGAAAAAAATGTACAAAAAGAAGAAATGTTAAGATGGAAGGAGAACTAGGTGCTAGATTGGGAAGACTGCAAAATACACAATTACTGTTTTAACCCATGGACATCTACCAATAAAGTCTTACTTTATACAACATTTGTCCTTCATCGATCTTAAAAGTATATGATCAAACCATTATTTACATTTTTCAAAGGTCAGGTTTGTGAGTGAAGGACACTGAAACCAAGTTACTGATAGTTCAGGCCATTAAGATAGCACTTGGTGGTTTATTGCTACAGCAAGCCATAGGTGGATTAGTGGCTGCAAAGAGTAAATAATCCCTCATGACACCCAGCTGGAGACCAGTTTCTAGCAAGGGAATATTTCATTCACACATGAGCAAAAAATTGAATGTGTAACAATGGAATTTATTGAAATAGAAGCTATAAACTTATTTTATACACTTATTCATGCTACTCATTAATGTGAAAATCCTTATTTTGGAGACCAATAAGCAGATGTTTCTAATTTCTGCTGCTATAATAATGATCGTATTCATCAAGATTACCCTAAGACAGGCAAAATTATAGAATTTTTAAAAGGCGTCTTGATAGATTTTGAATTTTCTCACACCTGGGTTCAAATTCCAGCTGGGCACTGCAGTCTTGCCACCTACCATGCAGAATCAATATGAAAATAAAATTATCCAAAGTAATTTTGCAGGATATAAATTATATAGCATGTCTAGCACATAAATTATACCCTAAGTTTACAATAAACATTTTTCCTTCCCTAATTTCTAAGTCATCTAATAATTAATTTGGTTAAGCATAGGATTTAGTGTATATAAAGTATATTTTATTGCATTAAATTCTTTGAATATTTTGTAATTTAAATATGATATATATGATAATCTCTGTGTGAACTGGAACACAGCTGTCACCATCCATTTAAGATAACAAAAGGATTACTGTAAATATATTGCATCTAAGATTCAGTTAGAGGAATGAGAGAGAAGCAGAAAGATCAAGAAGGAGAAATATTTTTTAGAATGTAAAGTGTAATTAACATTGTAGGCTCAAAGAAACAATTTAGTAATAATCCCTGCTTGAGCTGGAGCTGAAGAAAAGATAGCAAAGACATTGGAAAATAAGAAATAAGATGGCAATCCATGGACATAACCAGCAGACAAATGTTCCAATTGTTTCTGCCTCAGGACCTTTGCATTTGTAGTTTCCTCTGCTTGGAAGTGTCCCCCAGATATCTGCGTGGCTAAGTCCTCGTACTTCTTCAAGTCTTCACTTCAATATCACCTTCCTAGTGAGGTCCTGTCTGGCAACCCTTTCTGAAACTGTATACTCCCTCCCCCCGGCCCCTGACCTTTCCTCTTCCTCACACTGTTTTATTTTGTTCTTTTTAAAAATGATTACATCTAACATGCCATACATATTTTTTATTTGTTTTGCTTATTGCCTGTCTCAATCACTAAAATATAGTCCATGAGTTTTGTCTGTTTTGTTCACTGCCAAATCCCCAGAACCGATTTGAATGAATGAATGAATGAATCGAAGAAATACCTCCTTGTAGTATAACATAATCAGCTTCCTCTCCCCTCTCCTAATTCAAAGTAATGCCTATTATATTCTTTTGCTTCTTCCTAATTTTTTTTCAATTTCCTATCCATAACAAGGGGTTCCCTGAATCCCTTTTAATGATATTTTGAAAATCCAGTTTCTTCTTGTGTACACTCTTCCATTATACTCTCAAGGAACTGATGCTTATAGAAGCACACTTTCTCATTTTAGAAACCACATTACCTGTACCCCCAAAGGAGATGTTAACCAATGTACTCGGTGACCCTGCACATTTTATTATAAATCCCATGTAGCCTGCCAGCTGTGGAATTAAGGCTCTCTGGTGTATAGTTCCTAGGGTCACCCCGAGGGTCCTTGTTGCAGGCGGAAGCCGTGCTGACAATATGCCAGTCCTCTGCCAGGCTCATTTAAAAGGGGTTATATTTTGTTCAAGGATGCAATTTCACCCTTGATTTCCTGCAGATCCCATGGGCAGATACCATCTGGATCAAGGGATTCTTTTATATTTAGTATCAGTAAGTCACAGGCCACTGTTACCTTATCCTAATTTAGTTTAGTTTCTCTGTTTCAAAAGACTCTGCAAAATTCCCATTATACATATATTTTTAAATGAAGCCAGGCGTTAGCTGAGTTTTCATCTGCTTTTTTTTTTTTCATCCCTGAACACCTAATTTTCACTGTATCAAAGGATCATAGTGATGCTCTAGCTGGCTTTGTGTTTTTCATGTGTTTTTAAAGAATTTTTCATGAATGTTTCCCCCCGAACCTAGCCAAATTCATCCTGTCCAATACAATCCTTTTCCTCATCCTGTCTTTATCTATTCCACAGTGCTTACAGTGTGTGCTACATAATTTATCTGTAGCTGTATATTCTCTCTCGGTTCTAATCTGAAAGTTTTGGTTTATGTTTTTCTTATGGCTGATGCCTTGAATAATGTGAGGAACATAGAAGGTGTTGAAAAAGTGCTTCTTGGTATGTAGCCTGCTTCGTATTAGCTGGAAAGTCTGTAACAAGCAATTTTGGATTGACTCAACATTAAGATGGAAATATGCAAGTGGTATCTTAACACTTAAATTTGGAAAGCAGAAGGGGGTATAAATTATCCTGTGAACTGGATTGAAATTTGTTGTTTCCGAAGTAATGACTCATAGGAAAATAAGTAGATTAAGAAACATTTTTAACGCTCCATTGTGATCGCCAATTAGTCTCTTTACTAAAAAGTAAGGTTTAAAACAATTAAGAGTATGCAGTGATGCCTTCAGTCAAGTAATTAACTCTGAATAGTTACTAGGTCATAAATTAAAAATATATAGAGAAAAACACAATAGAATAAGACACTTACCTGAAGTCGTATGCATAATAACCTTTGATGGAAAATCCAAAATGTGAACCAGAAAAGTAATGGCACAGGCCGTTTTGTGCTTTAAAAGGGTATTCTGAATCTCTCACCAGTTTTACCTGCATCTAAAACAAAACAATTACCCAAAATGTTCACTGTCAGTTGTTTTACAAATCAAACAGAACTTACTTCAGTGTGTCAAAATAGGTTCACCTTTATCATGTGGATATACTCTGGGTTCTTAGTATTGCAAATTAAATCTTTAGGTGCTTGCTCTGGATATCCTAAACAATTAGTGTCGATATCTTTCTTTCTCTTTTACTTCTGTGTTCTTATAGCTTCTTTTCCTTGACCTCCAGCTATCTGATAATAAAGTCTCGCCATCTTTCCCCTGAGGGAACAACAGGGCAGCACACTTTCCTTCCAGGGCTCCTGGCTCTGTGTTAACAAGTCTTTGAGACTCCGTGCAGGGGTTTATACACAGGCAATGGGTAGGGCGAGCATCGTCTCCGTTACTTCACTTTCTGCCATTCATCTAGCACTGCGGTCTCCAACCACTGGGCCGACCAGCAGGCTGCAGACTGGTACCTGGTTGGTCGACGGCCTGTTAGGAACCAGGCCACATAGTAGGAGGTGAGCGAAGGCTGAGCAAGCGAAAGCTTCATCTGTATTTACAGCCACTCTCCATCGCCGGCATCACAGCAATCACAGTACAGGCTCCGCCTCCTGTCAGATCAGCTGGGGCATTAGATTCTCAGAGGAGCGTGAACCCTACTGTAAACGGACCATGCGAGGGATCTAGGTTGTACACTCCTTACGAGAATCTAATGTTTGATGATCTGAGGTGGAGCTGAGGCGGTGATGCTAGCGTTGGGAAGTGGCTGCAAATACAGATTATAATTAGCAGAGAGGTTTGACTGCACAATAAAAGTAATGAGCTTGAATCATCCCCAAACCACCCCCCTCCCCGCCCCGTCCGTGGAAAAATTGTCTTCCTTGGTCCCTGGTTCCTAAAATGCTGAGGACTACTGATCTAGCATGTGTCAAGTATTTTATAGTTGTCTGTATGGAATCGTCCCTTTCTGAATGCTGGGCTTACGAAAGGGAGGGGCCGCACAATTCACTGTTGTCCACAATGTGTACAGAGCAGCTTCTGGAATACAGGGGTTGGAAATACAGGGAATGGACAACGGCGGGGCATTCGGATTTAGGGAACTCCTGCTTGATGACTTTTTAGAAAACAAAATAGCGCCCTCATTGGCAGGTTTCATGCAGTCGATGCTGGATCTGGGACAATGTCAGAGTCCTAAATACACTGAGGGACCCTGTGGTCTACCAGGCGGAGCCAGGCTGGGGGAGGCCGGGAATGAAGGTGCAGCTCTGGCTCAGCCACTGACTTGGCAACAATCTCTCACCTCTCAGGTCCCATTTCTTCATCCATACAAAAAGCTACGGCATTACTTGGCCTCTAACGTCCCTTTCACCCTTAACATTCAGATGTTCTATGAAAATAAATAATCATATGCTCTCATCTTTCTGGGAAATTACACGATATGTGTCTGCAGAAAAAAAAGCATTTACCTATTAAGAAACATCAAGAAGTAAACATAAATATTTTTCTGAAGACAGATCTCAGCTAAGATTTTTCGCCCTTTGATTTCTTGATGGTTGATTTGCCTGGAAGCAATTCATCTTTAAATCTTCTAATTAATTACTTTAAGCTTTGGTTATCTACATTTCTGAACTTGAAAACATTACTTAATACATGAGAGTAAATTGTTTGAATTCTGAACACACAGCAAACAAGCAAAATAGGAAATTAAGACTTTAAAAGGCTGGGAGACTAGTCACCTTGTTTAACCAGTTCAAAGCATTCAGAGTAGAGCCTCCATTGCAGCCATAGTTATTATAGGAACAATCAATGACTTGCTGTACGCTTAGGTCTTCCAAAGCCTCCCCTTTTATCGCACATGCGGATTCCACTGCACCCACCACGCTGAAGGCCCAGCATCCTCCGCACTGTTTACAAATAGAAAGGGGGTAGCATTTATTACCAAATAGGGCTTAAATCAATTCACTGATACATTGTGAATTATATAACAAGTCATCAAATCAAGTAAAGTTTCCAGAATCTGGAAACCTACAAAATATATATGCCTATCCTCTAGATTTCAAATTGAAAAAAGAAAAAGAAAAAAAACAAAAACCTGAAAGTCTCTTTTGAGCATCAACATTTAATTATTAATGTTAAATTAGTAGTAATATTGCTGTTGTAAATTAGACTATGAAAGATCAAAGTGAACTTTTAAAGATTGAGGAAACACTGGGACTAACTGATGTTTTCTCTTTTCTTTGAGACAGAGTCACCCTCTGTCACCCTGGCTAGAGTGCAGTGATATCATCATAGCTCACTTCAACCTCGAACTCCAGGGCTCAAGCGATCCTCCCATCTTGGCCTCCCAAAGTGCTTGGATTAAAGGCATAGCCACAGCCCTGTTCCTGATGATATTTTAAAACACTGGTCAGTTCACTGTGACTTCTCTTTATAAGTGGCTTTTCTACTGGAGAGTGTGTACCAACTCTCATCCCCATACTTCAATCACCCTTGCTTCTCTCTGGACTCTGTACTTCTGTGGTCATGTACCAGCTCCAACCCAAGGGTGGAAGTCAGTGAGGAGAGGATGTGGGGGACGAGGTGTGTTGTACTCATTAGTTGATTAAAACAGTAGCTGAATGAATTACTTTTCAGGCTATCAAGATGGCAGCATGTACCTATTAAGTATGCACATTGTGGAAGCACATGAAATGTCCTAATGATTTAAACTCCTATCAATCATTCCTCAAACATCACCTGCCAATCATGCTGATTGTGGATCCATTAACTTGCTTTTCTTTGATAAGCTAGAACAAAAGAATAAAAGGGCTAGTCTGAAAGAAAGGGAGGAGAGAGAGGGTAGGGAATTAGGGATCATGTAAAAGGAAGAAGGATTCAAAGAAAAGGCGGAGAAGAGAGTAAGATTTGAAACTGGACAGAAAACCATGTGCTGCAGAATTAGGCCAAAAAAAAAAAGGAAGAACAATTGGATGTCTTTGTAGAGTGAGGTTTTGAGCAACTTTATGGCTTTAAGTGCTCTTTTTTAGGTCTATATCTTCAGTGCCTATGGCACAGTAAAATATTCACTAACTGACTCCATGGCAGAGTCTCCAAATCTCAACAAATGTGAATACAGGCTGCTGACATTATACTCATAGCTAGCTTTATTCAGGCCACGAGGGCAGTTCCTGCCTGTCCCCGTACCCTCCCAAAAAATCTCTCTCCAGTATATTCCTTTATTAAAGATGCCTAATTAAAAGTTCCTCTTTAATACACTGCAGACAATTTTGGCAAAGGTTGGATTTATGCCTATTTCACATGTTATGAATCCAATAATAAAACAAATGATTTGGTGGTAAAATTTAATGCACAGTAGTAAATAAAGAATCTGAGAAATAAAAAGGATCATTCTAACTAGGCATTCACTAAGAAACTGCTGGGTCCAAAATACTTTCCATACAAGGGAAGGCCGAAGGACCTGTTGAGGTTTTCCACTGCACACAAACTGCAGACAAATGGAGATGACCGTCCTGTGTTTAGGGGCCTGACTTTCCCTGCTGGCTGGCATTCCTGGCCAACAGTGGGGGTGCAGATGGCTAGGGAATGACACGCACACACCCTTCAAACATCGACCAGCCAGGCAGGTTCACTACATGCATCATAAGTCATGTCCTCCCACATCCCATGTTACCACTCCCCTTCTGATTTCAGAGGACCCTCCTTCCACCACTTCAGAGTAACTCACAGTTGCAGCCCTTCCAACATCCAGACCACAGGCACACTTTGGGTCTTCTTCAAAGTAAATTGTTATATTTATTGCAGTACTTACATATTTCTTAATCATTTAACATGTATAAAACTGTGCTTCCAGGTTTATCAGTCTTCATTCTTTTTAGAAGTTCTTAAGTGTTATGACCTAAACTCATTTCCATCCCATAATTCCTGTCATTTTATTGCACACTTTTGCACAGACGGTGGTTTTTAGGAATGTATATGTCACATTGTAGCTGAACTGACTACTGATTATACTTTTAAGCACCACAGATTAAAAGTTGCGTGATCCTGGGAGGATGGGAGCAGGGCTTTCTGAGGGAGATCACGAGATGAGGCCTGAGAGCCCAGCAGATCTGGCAGCACTGTTGGTAAATGTCTCCATTTTCATTTTACTTTCTCAGTATTGTTTTCCTTGGAAACTACTTAAGCCTTTAGTGGCCATGTTTACCTTCTCCAGCCTTCTACCTGCTGTTCTACACAAGGCTTGGCATCTGAGATACAGCTACTGGCAAGAATCCCTGAGTTCGTGTGCCGGTGGCAATGGCAATTAATGAGCGAACACAGCCAGGAAGGCTTCCCTTCAGGGATAAAAGTCAGGGCTTTGACATCTGCCTCTAGCTCCCCCAGAGATTCCCTTTCATTGTGACTTTTGGATAATTGAGGTGTTATTTTCCTAGAGAAATGATGGGCTCTATTACACGTTTAATTAAACTTGACCTCAAAGGTGCCTTCCAATGTTTAAATGATTAAAAAAGAAAAAAGATCTAAAACTTACCGTCTGCTGGTTTCTCACTTGCGTTACGACATGCTTGTCCCTCCAGTCAAATCTTAATGGCAAAGATACATTGGAGATGGACATTTGTACACCTGCTGAGTATCTGGGAAACCTGGACGGTCTGCTTCTTAAATAAATGGCTGAATAAAAACATAAAATGAAAAGACAACCAATATTATAGCAAAGGGAGGGACCCTTGGGATTATTTTTGGAGGAACTTTTTAAACAGAAACAGTTCTAGTAGACCTGTAATTTTAGGATTTTTTTTGTATGTGATTTTATGTAACATGAAATGCATTCAGCTGAAAGCTATGAAAGAGAAGCATTCCTACAATAAGGCTGGAGCTCACACAAAAGATGACTTGTTTGATAGAACTAGATCAGTAATAAAGATGAGTATAATTGACATCATTTGATCTATCATAACCATGGAACCACAAGTATCTTGAATAGAAATAGCACAGAAAACTGCAGAAGTGACAAGACAATTGTCCCTTATAGTCACATGGAAATGTGCATAAATCTTTATTTCTTAAGCAATAATTAGCAGAGAATCATGAATTTATTTTTATTATGGTAAGCACATGGTACATGCTTAACACTTATCTGGTATTTAACAAATGTCAACTATTACTCAATTTACTAGATTTACAATTAAACACTTCATCAAAGGTTAAGTAAACAAGTTATTAACATCAGGAGATAAATCAACTAATATCACCATGAGACCATACCTTTAAATTCTTCAGGAAACAAATAAGAAAACTGATTTATTCCATAAAAGGCAGTGGAGTTTTCACTAGGAAATAAAGAATTCAAGTATCGATGTCTATTAAGACTTTCCTAAAAGAAAAAAACAAAGCTATTTTATATCTACCATGTCAATTTTCCAAAGTAATCTGTGTTTAACTAACTTGGAAATATTTTTCATGTATAAAAGCCAAAGCATGATTTCCTACAGATTACAATGTAAAGCTGTATAAGATATCCATACCAGATTTATAAACATTTTATATTAGAACTACTGAACTACTGTCTAATTTCAGACAATTTTTTTTGAGGCTGGGAAAAGTGTATCTTATCCACTTATAATTCGTCTTCACTAAGCATGTTGAGAGCATCGCATACATAGTTGTAAAGTGTTGACATAGTCAAAAAATAAAATAAATTGCAAATAATCACTAGATACTAGTGGCAAATTGTCACCTGTAGACATTCACTCATGTGATTAAATAATTATGAATGTGGAAAGTGTCCTCATCATCTTTGTGTTTCCCATCGCTAAGTAATGAAGCATGAAAAAAGGACTGAGTAAATAAATGAATAAATCAATCTAATTCTATTAAAGCTTTATAGATATCTCTACTTTATGTAGGGTAAAAAGGCATTGTGAAGGAGATGCAATCCTGGAAATGTTCCAGCAAGAGAGCCTGGTATTTCTATAAGGAGGGAAAATGTGGCCATTATTTATAGATTCTTCAACTTTGAATTTTGTGATCATTTATCTTAGACTTGTCTTTTGTAGGAACATGCTTCAATTTCCTAATACCAAACAATTGTGTAGGATAAATAAAACTTCAGGGGACTATCATTTGGTAAGTTTCCAAGCCTAGCTCTTCTACACATTTGTTTATGTACTTATATATTTATTGTGTGTCTGTCTCCAAAACCTATCAGTGAAATAAGGGGAGGCCTATCTGTCTTTTTCATCTCAGTGTTACCTTCTGAACACATGCCTGGTACACAATAGATCCCCAATAAGTGTTTGCTGTTGAATAAATAGATACATGATACTTTGCATATGTCATGGTCTTACTAGCTTTCAGCTGTTTATTTTTAAGCAAATTATTGCTGGGAGCTACCATAATCTCACTTGTTCCTTTTGAGTATGCCTAGAAGGACTGCTAATTAATAAAGCTTTTGAGGGCATTTAAAGAAAGTCTTGAAGAAGCAGGGTTTTGAGTGTAATCTGGATATACAAACATAAAAACAGAACTAAAATGTAAGGCAATTCTATATACGACAAATGTCAAATATAAGCCAGAAACTGTTAACTGCTAAGTGATTCAGAGGATTCATTCAATCAGTAAGTATTGATTGGCCACCTTTGTGAGCTGGAGTAGTCAGGAAAGGATTGAGAGTGAAGGACATTAAGAATGCACAGGAGAGCATGTGGGAGCCACAAGAATGTGCCTCACTGACTTTGAACTTCCATGATTACACCAAGGAAGCCACAGTTCCCCCAGGCTGCACCTAGCTAATGACTGAGCACTGAGGCTGGGTATGTAGGGGAGACATGGGACTCCTCTGACAGCTGATTTTTGATCAATGACTCCCCGATGGCCTTGCCAAACCTTCCAACCTTCCTTGGACTGTGAGGCAGTATAGAGCTCTTCCTCCAACTTTCCTTCCCTCTCTCCTTTCCCCAAGGTCAGAGCTACACTGCAATCAGATAGCTCTACCTGGCCTCTCCCCATTCTCTCACAGGCATTGCTCCTGTGATTAGGAAAAAAAAAAAGAAAAAGACAGAAAGAAAGATAAAGGGAAGACACAAATTATCAGTATCACAAGTGAAAGAAGGACCATGATTATAGATGCTGCAAGCACAAAAAAATAATATTTTGAAAACTTTATGTCAATAAGTTGACCACCTATATGAAATGGGCAAACTCTTTGAAAGGCACAGATTACCGAAGCTGAAAGTAGGAGAAATAGAAAACTTATGCAGCCCTTTACCAACCAAAGGCATTAACTTCATAATTGAAAATTGACCCAAAAGAAAATTCCAGGTCGAGGTGGCTTCATTGGTGAACTCTGTACAATAAAGAAATAATACCAATCATACCCTTTGAGAGAATAAAGAAGGGAACACGTTGCAACCTAAGTAAGACCAGTGTAATTCCTATTCTAAACCAGAAAAAGACATCTCAATAAAATAGGACTACACACCAATATCCCTCATAAATATACTATAGTTGCAAAATCCTTAAGAAAATATTAGCAAATCAAATCTAACAATTTATAAAAGGACAATACATCATGACCAAGTGAAGTTTACTCAGAAATGCTGGGTTGGTTTAATACTTGAAAACCAATCCACATAATACATCATATAAACAGAATAAAGGAGTAAGGAAAACTGTATGCTACTTTCGACAGATGCAAAAAAAGTATTTGAGAAAATGCAATGCCATTTGCTGATAAAAATTCTCAGCAAAGACTGAGAATAAAAATAAACTTCTTCAACCTGATCGAGGGGATTTATGAAAAACCCACATGACAGTGGTGAAGGGCTCGCTACTTTTTTCCTCATAATAGGAGAAAGGAAGGAATGTCTGCTCTCACTGCTTTTATTTCACAAGTGTACTGAAAGTCCTATTTTGTTCAATAAGATAACAGCAATAAATAAAATTCATTTTAAAGAAAGACGTAAAACTGTAGGTATTTGAAGAAAATAGGATAACATGGAGAAAATGCAAAGCAATCTACAAAAATGCTACTTGAACTAGTAAATAAATTTTAGCAAGGTTGTAAGGTACAAACAAGATCAATATAAAAAGCTAATTGTATTTTTTACACTGGCAACAAACTATTAGAAAATGAGATTTAAAAATTGTTAAATTTTTAATGAATATGAAAAATTGAATGAATTTTCAAATATTTTAAAAATGACTAAATTTAACTAAAGTTGTTTAAGACTTGGACTGAAATCTATAAATTATTATAAAGAAAAATGAAAGGAGATCTAAATTAATGGTGAATTGTACTATGATCACAGTTTGGAAGACTCAATATTGTTATGACAGCAATCTTCCCAAACTGATTTCAATAAAATGAGATTCCAATAAAAATCTTAACAGACTTTTTTTTTTTTTAAGAAACTGACTATTGGGCAAAGGGCTTTTACAGTTTGATATCAAAGGAAAAATAATGTCAAAATTGATAGAGCTGACTACAAAAAACCTTCAGTGTACTACAAAAATCATAGATTAAATTGAAAAGTAAACAATGAAAATTACCTACCATTAAAGTTAACAAAATTATTATTCAAGAGATTTTCTAATTAATTAGAAGAAAATGAAATACTGATGGAAAAATCAGTATAAGTAACTAATCTTATATTATTAAAAATATAAAAATAATTTATTAATACATACATAATTTATTAAATTTCAGTATTAAAGTGATGCTAAGTGAAATAACAATAGCATTTTCTGTTTGCCTGTGAAATCTGTACATTGTTTATAAAAGTAAGATTCATCCTTCATGAAATCATTGGGAAACAGGAATATACCCCACACATACACAAACATGTACACACACACGTATATGAGGCATAAACGGGTACACCCTTTCAAGATCCTTAAAATTGTACAAATTGTTTGGCCAAGATTGTCTAATTCCAGGAGTAGATTTTAGACTCATGAGTGTTGGCAATGCTGTAACTTCAAGTATTATATTATAGGGGTGTGTGTGTGTGTGTTTACACGCGTGGCTAGGAGGAGAGATGGTAATTTAGACACTCTCCATTTAGATGGACAGATAATGCAAATTTATCTTACTAGATCATTTTATAATCTATGAGAAAAAAAAATTGCCATTCTGAGTTAGCAAGTGTCAGATTAAAGCCAAAATGTTTAGAAGTAAATAAATTTATACATCACTTCTTTCTCAGTGAGTTCCCAAGTACCTCTCTTAATTGTTGCATTGCCTTAGGAATGTCATTTCATCATCCAAAGTTTATTCATTCTGGCTGTGAGGTAATTTTAATGACATCAACTTAATAATGAGTGAAATAAATATAGTATTGATTTATTTTAAATATTCGTGTCCCTAATTTTCAATGATGATTTCAATAACTGTTACTTGTTTGTGGTCTTACGCATGTGTTTGAAAAGACAAATCTCTCCATAGACACCATTTGTTGCCACTTTTTATACTGTTATTTGATTTATGTCAGCAACGCCAGTATTTGCAGAGCTTGTGGAAACGCTGCTTTCTTCCACTTTTCAACCAGGGGCCGACGTCTAAGAGAATCTGATTTGTCAGTTTTGTGTGCCATTCCAGCTCAATGACTCCTGTCATTTCATGGCTCTCCACAGCCCATGTTAGGATATCCAATATTTATAATTGTTGACTTCTTGCCGAGAGCAAAGTACTAAACCCCAGAGCACTCTGCTTTGCCCTCTCTCTCCCACTAAAACCTACCCCTTCTTTTGACTCTGCAAAACCACTAACAACATTATAAGTACTTCCCTGGTGGCTTCTGAACAAAGCATAATTCTTTTACATGTCCACACACACACAAACACCCACACACACTTAATGGAGTTCTCTAGTGTTTCTTAACTGTTCAACAAATTGAAATGTCTTCTCATTGCTGTGCAATCTTTGGCTATATACTCCACCTCTCTGAGCTTTATTTTCTTCGTTGACTAATGAGATAATGCTGAGTTGGCACAATGTAAGGATTAAATAAGATAATGTATGGAAAATACATATTACAGTGGCTGGCAGAATAAATGCTCAGTTAAAATACTTTCATGTTCTTTCTTTCTTTTCTTTTAAACATAGAACATTTGGATTATAGGAAATGTCATTCTGTCTATGGCCATACCACTCTGAAGGCGCCTGATCTCGTCTAATCTCGACAGCTAAACAGGGTTGGGCCTGGTTAGTACTATTATGGGAGAAAATATCATTCAAAGACCATGCTTTCAGGCTCACTTGGAACGAGTATTTCTCATGGTGTTAGAAATCAGGATCAATTACCTATTGAAAGCAATATGTTGCTTTCACAATAAAATAATATTATCAGTATAAAAAGAATATTTATTCTCCTA